GGTTGCCTGTCGCATGATGGTCAGTTACCAGCCAAATGCCGAAGTTTTCCTTCAGGCAAACTTCCCACTACCCACTGAGGCAGTAACTGTCTTGCCTAACCCAAGGCGTACTCCCAGATCAGGAACTTCGTCATCTGATAAGTCGTGGCCATTCAGCACACTGATGGTGTACATCGTCGGAGGTCTGATGTGCTTAGTCTTGATCGGGATTTGTTGCTGGGTCTCTCTCAAGGCAAAATCTCTTCTGTGCTCAAAGCCATCCACCGAGCACGACGGAAAGCCCAGGTCAAGGACCAAGGCTACTTGCAACCGCCTCGACGATGATTTCATAGTGGACATTGGGATGCCCCCTGAACTGACCGCCCGTCCTTCAATGGTGACCAAAATGGCTTTGGTTGAGGAGGAGTCCCCCTACCAGGATTTGGAAGACGTATCCCATCAGCGGCAGATAAATGAATACCAGCGTCTAATCAGCAATGACTGGACCCCACCCACACCGGAGTCGTCTGAAAAATGATCTTGATCGTGCAAATGTTCATTTTGTTTGTTAATTTCACGACGCTTATGAGAGGAAGATTCAAGCCATTTTTTAAAAACTGATTAATACATGTAAATGATGGAATAAATATACAGCTCAGGTTAGGGAGTATTACCTCAATCCCGACCAGATTCTAGTCTACTTGAAAAGTACCCAGGTATCATGCAGAAGAGGCTTAAGGTGGTGTTTACGGAATCTTTGATAATATATTAGACTAAGCCTAAACTATTAGCTCTGTTTTTAGAGAAGCTCTTCCTGCGAGTACATGGCAGGTGATCCTTGCCTTCGCTGACATTTTCTCTTTGAGACATTCAGAAATTTTCGGTTGGTAAGGGCAACGCACGCAATTTTATGGCTTTATAAAAGGCAGGGAAACAAACGAATGTGCTGAACAAAAAAGAACAGAGAAAACTAATTGTGAAACTCGATTAAAATCAAATTGATCGGGGTTTTTTGATTACGAATCATGCTAAGCCTGGTCCCAGTTATGCAAAAGAACAAAATATCACCCACTGTGTTCTTAATTAAGACTGCAGATGTAGAGTTCAAGAGGGATCCTTCACCAAATTAAGAAGGAGGAATCTTTTTGGGGGGAGGGCTGGAAGTTTTGGAACTATTTATGTGACCCACAATGGTCTTTCTGAGGATTGGAGATAAATAAATTGCCAAGTTTGTAAATGTGAATGTTGGTTACGGGCGGAATGTGTATAAATCTGCAACATTGTTAACTTTGTTAGCACCTTGTCAATTCCGACCTTTTAAGTTTAGGCTGCGACGAGAGCTTAAATATTTGCAGCATTTAAATCGCACTTTCGATATCTGAATGGTTTTTGCCGTCCCCTTTAATTAAGAAACCTTCATTGGCAAATGTTAAAGCTTTAATAAATAACAGTAACAAATGTCTGAAAAGGTCGTTCAGATGGAGAAAACAATGAAGTTTTACTGCAGCTAAACTATACCCCAACAAATACAACTTTACTCTCCTACAAATGGAAATTATTTGCCGGGGTGTATATCTTGAAAGTTTGAAAGCTTAAATGTGACTGAACATTTTAAAAACATTGACGTAAATTGCGCAAATTATTATGCATTTACTCTTAACCGCATACATTATACTTGGCCGTTTAGTAGTACGTCATCTCTGTTAATCGCGATGTTTGTCAGTGATAGAGGTTAGAATGGACTAGATTATATTCACAGTTATACACTGCAAGTGTGCTGTTTCTATAAATTCATTAGTACGTTCTTCAGTTGAAGATAATGTAGTAATGAGGAAATAAGTACGTGCTTGGCTGTAGAATAGGCGCAACTAATGCCCACGCCGCAGGTGAGGGCATTATCAACGTTCATTCTCCTGAGCCGGTCTTAAACGTTACTGTAGACGTAAGTTTATGAGCGACCAAGCACATATTAATTCCCATTCGTAAATGCCGTTTTAATTTTAGTCAGAGAGTCAAAAGAAGTCAAAATACGATAAATTTCCACGGATTTTGTTCAAGAATTTTACTTTATTTTCCTGAACGCCCCGTCCATTTTTATGGTATATTCCTCGTGCAAGTAGTCTGTAAGAATCTCCTTAGATGGACTTGTCGAGTTGCGCGCACTGTTTCGTATCCAGGTGACAGCGCGTTACGCAGCGAGTATTGTCAAATCGCAGTGGGCATTATCAGATGTTAAGACGAGGTCACGTTGCGCGTTGTTGAATAGGGAAGCTGTCCAAGGTGGGCCGATTGACAGTTATTCGTGCAAGTGTGATTCGTGTCTTACTATTTTACTGTGAAAAATAGATTAAAGGTGTTGTATTGTAAAATTTGTGGTTAATATAATAATGTGCGCTTTAAGAACACACAGAGGCTTTATTTTCTCAGGACGTAGTTACATCAGTCATATCGTTTATTGACGGTAAAAAAACTTTACGGTGGATTATTGTCAGAAGATCGATCGAATCACAAAAGCTGTCAAGAAAATGATTGGTCTCGAAGTAAAACAGGTGAACGAAATCATGGAAATTATGTTAAAGAATTATGTTAAAGAACATAATCCAAGATGTCAGTTTTCAGATATTTGTAATGAAATTTTACATTTCTTGTGAACATTGGGGAAGGTAAATATCACTTTTAATTGTTTTTAATTGCGCGGAAATAATTGAACTGAATTGGATTGTAGGTGTTGAAGTGCAGAATATATACCCGGGAATCACAGAGGTTACATATTAAAAACAATTAAACACATACAGTTTTATTATTTGTTGAAAGAAAAATTTCAGCTTTCGTTTTTCACTCAGGAAAAAATGGCTTTCCGCTCAATAATGGGGCGAGGGCTTTTTGAAATGATTTTATAACCTATTTCAAGGCTATATAAAAAGATTGATACATGTACACATTTTAAGACTCCTTTAATGCCTACACATGTACAGGTAGTTCTCACAGTATAAAGTTTCAGTTCATACGGGAGACGTTAGATATATTTTGAGATATAATATGCAACTTATGTTAGTTGTTCGTCAAATAAACTTTCTGCTTAATTAATAAACAAATTTTCCGATACGCTGTCGACTGTTTTCTATCGTTGCTGTCACTGAACACGTGTTCCTCTCCAGCTTTTGGACATTTCCGTGCAGAACGCGTTGGTCAGGTATAAGTCTCCGCATCTCAGATCCTTCATCCCCGTCAGCACCCATCTGTATTCATGTTGTAGATTCCTGGCGTTTACATAATATTATGAGCACCTAATCGTGACTTTGCAGCAGAATTGCAAACAGTCATAAACAGTGCTGTGTGACTAGATGGCAGAATTCATAACCGTAGCTCAGCGCAATGTGGCATCACTGTACTTTACGAGACGCATTTTCATTCTACTGAAGGCTTTTTGACTTCTGCAAACTTTAAAACTATAGGCTTTAACAATTTCAATCACCCAGTTATTGCGTTACCTAAACTATCCCCTGTTCATCAAACTTTACTCCCTTGCATGTATGATGGCTAATCTGACTTAAGATTGCGCTCGGACACTGGAAAATCGAGCCAACCTCCCTGATTGATTTCGCTTTTTATTCGGGTAATTTGGACTGTGCCTTTCGACTAGAACACTCAGATCTAACTGGGTCAAGTAAAAATACATACAGTACACAATCACTGCCATTCTACCTGAGGAATTTGAATCAGCCATCGTTAAAAGATAATAGGTGAACAGGAAGTCAATCTTGTTCGTGATGGGATTTTAAAAAATGTACAAAAATGAATGAGTGAAGTTTTTACAGCTCTTCAAACGCAATGCGTCTCAGCTTTCCAATGAGTGATTTCAATTTTGTCCCGCTCCACGAAACGAAAAGTAACGCCTACTCTCCCAAGAGAAGGACAGAAACACACAAAAATACGAACTGTTACACCAATCAGCAATTCATAACCACCAGAATGAAAATATACAGTTTCAAAGACGCTATAAACAATATGCAAGTGACCACGTGTTCAACACGTTAACGTTCGGCAGTGACTAAAATAAACACCTGGTGAAAAAAGTTTCGGTTTGGCTATGAATCCTTTATAAGTGTAAACTTCCAGGTAAAACAATCATTTCAAACGATCTGGGAAATATGGCCACAGGAAGCATTATCTCCCCTGTAATAATCATCACTTTGGCCGTCATTTTTCCATGTTCGGGGCAGACAGCCGAGTCGCTGGCGCTGGACGTGGAAGAAGATGATGGATTCCCTGCTCAAAACTCCTCAGTAGAGCTGACATGCTATGGTCACTATGAAGGCGTACTGACCTTCAACGGAAATCCTGAGACAGGGGGGAGAGTCCTTTGGACGAAGGACAGCCAGCATATTGCAGAGTGGCCCAAACCAGAAGGAGTAGAGACGTCTACTAGATACGAACTATCGGCAGACCCACCCCAGGATTTCACGGTTTTTGCGTACCTTACTATTAAGTCCATGGACAAAACAGACAACGGTGCATACAGATGCAAACTTTTTAGGGGAGGAACGGAACTGAGAAGGTCAAACGTGGTAAGGTTGACTGTCGAACAACGCCCAGCAAGTGAATACCCAAAGTGCTCAGCCCAAACCCTTAGCAACGAGAAAGCGTTCATTTGTGAGTCGGAGAGGGGAAGTCCACCGGTCAGCCTCCAATGGTGGCGAGGCGAAGAGTCTCTCGAGCAGTCAATTGTAGAAGTGGGGGGCTTCGTGCAGGCTCAATTGCTGGTAGCAGAAGACGACGAATCAAGTGGAGGTAGACTCGAGTGCTCCATCACTTTCAGAGAACAGCGTCTCGACTCTTGTGTCCTGGACCGACCCAATGTGACGATTCCGACTCCCACGAGCGGACTAGTCGCCGGACAAGATTTGGTCGTTATCTGCGTTACATCTGACGACCCACTGGTGTCATCCGTCGACTGGAACTTTAAACCTAGGCTCTATTCATCCTTCCAAAAAGATGGACAAGTGCTCACGCTCTCTAACATCAGTTCGCGTGACAACGGCACACAGATAATCTGTGAAGGGCACAATGCACTTGGCAGCAATCAGGCAAGTAGAGTGATAACTCTACGACCGCTTGAAGCCACAGTGCAGCCGATAACAGTGCAACTTGAACAAACCAAAGTGCCAACATCACTCGACGAACAAGCTCAGTTCAAGTGCGTTACGACTCCCCCGCGCTCCCCTCCTCCTCCTTGCATATGGCATTACAACGGTGAGTACGTAGACCCCGACAACACCTCGGACAGATTCCTCGTGGAGGACCGTTCAGAACATGTCTTGTCAGTTTCCAGTGTTACAACCATGGACGTAGGAGCCTCAGTAACCTGTCACATCGTGGTCAGTTACCGGCCAAATGCCGAGGTTTTCCTTCGGGCAACTTTCCCACAAACCACCAAGGCGGGACCAGTCCTGACAACCACACGGAGGTCCCCTAAATCCCCTTCGTTACCTGGTAAGCCGTGGCCAGTCAGCACACTGATGGGGTACATTATCGGAGGTCTGATGTGCTTGGTCTTGGTCGGGATCTGTTGCTGGGTCTCTCTCAAGGCAAAATCTCTTTTGCGCTCAAAACGATACGCCTCGAACGACGGAAAACCAATGACGAGGACCAAAGCTTCATGCAACCGCCTCGACAATGATTTCATAGTGGACATTGGTATGCCCCCTGAACTGACCGCCCGTCCTTCGATGGTGACCAAGATGGCCTTGGCTGAGGAGGAATCCCCCTATCAGGATTTGGAGGATGTATCCCGTCAGCGGCAAACAAATGAGTACCAGCGTCTCATCAGCAATGACTGGACCCCGGATGCACCGGAATCGTCTCAGAAATGAAGTAGGTGATGGTGTCTGTTCATTTCTGAATTTGTTTGTTTGGGGAGTAGATGTTTTAAGCTGACAGAATAATGGAAAAGCGTCATAAATTCTAGTTCAAGTACGGTAGATCTTACTCTATACATACATCTGACCAGTTTAAGGTCGAGCCTCTAGTGGTGTCAGTGGCGAATTCGTTATTTCTGGACATGTTTGAGAGGTACCGGTAGGTTTAAACCATTTCCTTAATTGACCAAGTAAAAGATGATGCAGATAAGCACTAATCATGGGTTTTGGACTACTTCCTAGGAGCCGTTCTCAGAGGAGACTGCCGAATATATACAGTTGAGGGTGGTACTTCAACGTGATAATTGAAATGTAAAATAAAGAACATCTATGTAAACCCCTACCTGGAGAATGATACCTTATCTTGCAAAGTAGAATCCATGCTTGTTTCACTTGCAATGCTGAAAAGACACGTAGTTCCTTGAGAATCCGAGAAGAGCATTACAATATAACTTCATTTGAACACTCAGACCTAGCTTTAAAGCTTGACTTCTGGGCCTTGACCTTAAGGCTTGTGGGCAGAAACTTTGGTCTTAGTCTTGGGCCTAATGATCAGGATCATCGGATTTTTCAGTAAAGACCCTTTATCAAAGCCTAATGATTTTCAAATTTAAAAAATGTTTTTGAACTTTTGGTAATCCGATCTGTTTCATAGCCAACACATCATCAACCTCGAATCCCAGTTGTATTGTATGTATGGGTTGAATGAAAGCAGGCACGATTCAACCCCTTGCTTCTCAGTACAAACTCCAGATCCAACGGGTTAATGCCAGGTCTAGATATTAAGCATACCAAAGTCATGCTGAACCAAATAGCTCCCAAGACTCGCATTAACAACAGAAAAAGTTCGACGTATAAAACAACTGGTAGCAACTCTCTACCATGGACGTCGGAAAAGCCGCCTATTGCATCACTCCGAATGACTCTGGGACAGCTTGGTTTCATATTCGATATGCCGTTATGTTAAAAGGTTATATTATGTTATGTTCCCCATCGTACGCAACTTAGGTGCTCGATATAGGTTGGAAGAGTCAGCTTTTAACTAATGTACTCTTCCAATAGGTTTGATTTTACTAAAGCGGTTAATTGCTTAGACAGCGTTTAAGATGAGGGCATAATTTGAATGCATTTTCAACCCTTGAGGGATCTAAAAGCTACTTGATAGTCTGGACGGAATTTACTAGGTTCAGCAATGAGTTGGTTGGAATTAACAATCAAGATTTTATATGTTGTTATGGATGAATTTTAATAGCTCTCACAAGCAACTTATTGATGTTGTTAGCTTTCCTTTAAAAGCAACTGAAGGAGGAAACACTTCAAAACACTCTTCAAACTTCTTCAAACATTTCAGAAACACAGTAAAATCTAACAATGGGCAGCAGTCGCCATGTACTAATACATATGTGCACAACATTGGTTCTAAGTTCAGATCAACAGTTCCTGTTTAAATACAGGCGATTCGTGATAATTGAACTTAGTCATTTTGGAAAGGGCTTTATGGGCATTGTCAAAGCCATGAGGGTCAAGCAGTGGCCTTGAGGATCTGATGGCTAAAGCCCTGGCCATAGCCTTAAGTCTAAGTGATTAAGCCTTTTAGCGTTTTTGAAACGAGTGGATTCGGCTTGGACTTCGGTTTCGTTGGTTCCAGTCGGAGCTTGAACATGTAGTTTGGAACGCTGCTTCAAAATGGCTGGAACCAGCGAAACCAAAGTCTGAGCCGAATCCACTCGTTTCAAACTTCAACAATCCTCTGGTAGCAAATCAGTTGCGGGTTTCAATGGCTTAAGTCAAAAAGAGTTGCCTAATGCAACCAACAAGCTGAGAACTTGTTTTGTGCAGGACCAAAATGTAAACATTTATGCCGAACCATTAATAAAATCAGCCATAGCCAACAGTGATCACAACTCCATAGTCTGGTCTCCGACACATACTTATCATCGTTCCAAAAACACAACTAAATTACGCACAACCAGACCATTGCGTGATTCTGACATACGACGTTTTGGAACATGGATTTGTCAGTATGACTGGGATCCTGTCATGCTGGCTGATGATCCTAATGATCAGTGTGATGCTTTCTACAGAGCATTAAACTCGGCAATTGATCACCATTTCCCACAACACATTACTAAACTTCATGTTCGTGACAAACCATGGTTGACTCCAGAGGTCAAGAAACTCATTCAACAGAGACAAGTGGCATTCCACGCAAAGGATCATCGCACTTGAAAACATTTACGATACAAGGTTAAGATGGCCATAAGTAGCGCCAAAAGTAACCATGACAATAAAAGAGTTAGAAGCTTGAAAGCATCGGACCCTGCTGCATGGTGTCGTCAGATCAAACTTCTTACTAATGGTTATCAGGAGGACAAACCAATCAATGTACCAGGAGTTGACAAAGATGACATTGTGGGAATAGCAAATAGCGTTGATAATCATTTTGCTTCTGTAGCTGAAGATCTGCCAATCCTCGATACAGCCCAGTTACCAGCTTATTGTCCCTCCAAATCTCCCCTCTCATATGTCCAACCTTGGGATGTGTATCGTGAACTCAAACACATAAAGTGTGGCAAGTCTGGTGGTCCAGATAATATTCGAGTCCGTATCATTCGAGAATTTGCTTGTGAGTTGACCACCCCCTATCTCATATTTTCAATACTTCACTTCAACTTGGTTTTGTTCCTGATGTTTGGGAACGAGCTTTTATTGTCCCCATCCGCAAAGGCTCTCCTGCAGTGGTTGACAAGTTACGACCAATAGCGTGCACGGACCATTTTGCTAAACTCTTGAGGGTTGTGTTGCTAAATAGACTGAGAAAGACTTGAAACCTTATATGGATGACCAACAGTTCGAAAAAAGAAAAGGTTTATCTACTACATATTGTTTGCTAGATTTATTGAATACTTTGTACAAAAATGCCGAAATCGGGAAAGCAACATCCACTCTGGTTTTGACAGATTATAGTAAGGCATTCGACAGAATCGATCACAGCATTGCCATACAGTAACTGATCAACCTGACTGTGAACCCATCATTAATTAAATGGATTTCAAACTTCCTCACGAACCGCAAACTGTGTGGGCTACAGGGGTCTTACATCTGACCGAGTTACTATGTACGCCAGAGTTATTCAAGGGACAAAATTGGGCCCCACTGTGTTTTCGGCTGTTATCAACGATGCCTGCCAGGATTCCAATGACTGTATCCACCATTGGAAATATGTGGACGATTTAAGCTTGATTGAAACCCGCCACGTCCACGAACAACCTACTCTTCAAGAGGCTGTAAATGATTTCGTTGAGTAGTCACAAAATAGCAATATGTCTCTGAATCCCACAAAAGGCGCCACTATGGAAATTAATTTTATGAAGGAGCCTCTACCATCACTTGTAATATGCATCAATGATCAAGTCCTTGAACAATTACAGACTGTTAAATTGTTAGGGGTTCACATCCAGCATGATCTTAAATGGGAAACTCATATTAATACACTACGAGCCATTAATACACTAAGAGCCATTTCATATGGTTCGTGCTTTAAAAGGCCACGGATTCCCAATTCAAGATATAATCACTGTCTATAAAGGGTACCTGTGCCCCCTGCTTGAGTATGCAGTCCCGGTGTGGAATGGTGCAATCTCAAATCGGCAACAAAATCAGTTGGAAAACATTCAAAAACGTGTCCTCAAATTAATTATAGGCACCGATTATAATGGTTACGATGATGCTTTACACTCTGTCAAATTAGAATCTTTAACTGACCTTCGTAGATCACTGTGCCTTAGATTTGCCAAACACTTAATGAATAATGAGCACCTGTCGCATCTCATTCCACAGCCTGAAACTAGTAGAATATTCCGTCAGTCTAAATTAGCATCCGCACCAAGATGCAAAACAAACAGATTTAGGAAAAGTGCAATCCCCTATTTATCTCGATTAATTAACTCTATGAATTGATCCATGTGATTGTGTAGAGGTTCTTTGCATTGTCGAATATGTGTGTATTTTAAATTGTGGTTATATGTATTGTCTCATATACATTTATATATATTTCTGTTGATTCAATTCCCATCCCATCCAACACTATAAACCCTACCCCAACCCATCCAATCCCACCCCAACCCTACTTACCTCGACTCCATCCCCCTCCCCGTATTTCTTACACCACGTCTCACAATACCCCAATATCAACCTTTTCAATCCCACCCTGTTTTGATTCCCTCACATGTATTATTTACCGTTTTTAAACCTTTTTGTGTATTAAACATACGTAATTGATGATTTATTTTTATCAAATATGTATTAATTTAACTTAACTATAATTTTGAGTTTAAGCGTAATTTTGTATCTTATTTTATAAAAGTATTTGTCAAGATTATTTTGTATATCCTTTTTAATCACATGTAATGTACTTTTATTTTTTGTCACAGTCTTACACAATTCCACTTTTGTGGCGAGAAGACTGATACAATAAAAGATTTAATAATAGTAAACAGAATTTCCACAGGTAGGCCTACTTATCTAAATGGTTACATATCTATATACATTTAATGGGTTTGTTTTATGCATTTTAAAGTTTATCATTGTATGTACCTATATACACTAAACATGCCTGTGTGCTTAGTATATAGGTTTCATTTTGATACCGCTGGGTCTCGGATTCGAGGACCCAGGGAGGGATGTTGATTGTTAGACGGTGGCCTTGACTGAATATACTTTCAATTTGAGGGCTTCAACTCAGGCTGCGAATCGACTACTAATTGACATGTAAAAATCCCTTCCCATTTGATTTCTTACCACAAGTGAGAAGAAATGCTGTCTTGTGGAACTGTATTTAGTAACTTTGTCGATGTGCATTTTTTATGTGTATGCTCAAGTATGCACTTGTGAAATTTCGAAGAATTTCATTAAATTAATAGCTAGACTATTGTTATATCTGCTTGAGTAAATTGAGTATTTTGTTCACACAAAATGTTCACTCGAAGAGGCGTCTTCCGGTAGAAAAATTCTATCCATGCTAAATATTACTTTGGGAGCTTTTTAACTAAACGAAAGACCTAATAAATCTGTAATACTTAAAAGTTTAAGCCTTAAAAGGATAAAAGTAAAAAGCAAGCGAACAAACAAAAATTGTATAAAATGCTGAGTGGTAGTTGTTTATGCAGTCCATATCAAAACTTTGTTAGACAAAACCCGAAGAGTTTGGAGTACAAGTAAATCTGTATTTATATGCAGGAACATGAAGCAACAGTGGTGCTGTGCACTTAATTGTTGAGAACGTGAAGGAAACAAAACGTAATGAATCATTTGGAGGTATTCGGGTTGCTGTCATAAGTCGTCACTGAACAACCGGTACATTATACCTCACCTTGGTGGGGGTCAGCTACATTGAATTTCGGGTCTGTATGAAGTGGCGCTACACTCTAAAAACTCCCTGGTCAGATGGACCCAGAATTGGGTCGCATTCGGCGTGACCCTTTTCCAGGTCAAATTATGACCCAGAAAGGGTCAAATACGACTCGAAAGAGGGTCTTTTTTTACCAGAAAGGGGTCAAGCCGAAGGGGACCCAATTCTGGGTCAATCTGACCCGGGAGTTTTGAGAGTGTATAGTGGGTGCCCACTGTATGAAAACAAGCCTAGCCGATAATCTAAAACTTTTTATTTCCACAGAAAACTACAATCCTTTGTTCCTGGGAAATTTGAAAACAAACAAACATTTGGACGCTTTGTGCGAAGCTCCCCCATCGATTCTATACGTTGCCAACTTTGGCAGCGTGCGGCCTGGTTAAAAAAGCGTTTTCCATCTGGTGGATGCTAAATAAATGCACAACTTTTCACGGGGAGCGTGCAAACTTGGGGAGTAGCGATTTAGGTGGACACCCACGACTCCAACGACGGAAAGATTCTGGTTAATATACTGCGACACCCACACGCAGTGCACGCAAAACAAATGTGCCGCCTAGAAACAGGGACAATTACAAAAGGCCACCGTTCCTGTGACAGGGAAAAATGGAATTCCATCCCAGCAACAGTCATCACAGCAACCTTGTGATACCAATTGGAACTAATTATCCGACTGTGCCTATTTTTATTTCCTGGTGTGAAGAGTATTATTAGTGCAACTTTTGTGAGATTTTTGGATCTTGGAGGAGGGCTCATCATACTGAAAATTTTGATGTCGTTTCAAAAGCAGTGGTGGGTGGCGCAGCAACAATTCGTTCAGTTTACCGTATTAAAATAGAACCGGTCGTCTCGAAAAAGTACACATTTCTTTTATTAAACAATAATTTAGATTTTTTAAAGGAATTTCGAATTTTTAATTTTAAGAAAGGAGAGTATTTTGTAAGAGTACGGTTGAGTTGGGTAGCACTGTGGAATAGGGAGGGCGAGTGATATCTCGAGGGACTGAAATCCTACCAATATGACGGTCAAGGCTCCGGGAAGGAACTAGAAATCAGCCCCCCTAGGGCGGTTCCAGAATGAAAGTGTTTAGTGGGCAAGGGATATTTTTGGAAACTGGCTATTTTTAAGGATCTCGTTACATACACACCGGAAACATCGCAAATGTTCAATGCACTCTGTGGAGTCGTCTGCGGTTTGCTATCGTGGCGATTCTAGATTCCTTGTTTGTTTACTCTTCATTCTGGCAAGGGCTCGAATAAGTTAACGTGAAGAATAAGAATTATCATGAAAATTTAAGACACATACATGTACAATTACAGTTTGAAAATGCTTGATGTTACACATCATTACCGGTATATCAATTTTAAATGATCAAAATTAGATATGCACAAAATAGATTTACAATACGGGCGATTCACAATAGTGCGCCTCCAAGAGTTTGCAACGGGCTGACCAATCACAAGGCGCGAAATCTGTCGACCCTTTCCAAACACACATATCGCGCGCGCTGTGATTGGTCAACGCGCTGCGAACTCTTGGAAGCGCACTATTGTGAAACGCCCGTATTACATGCACATTATACATTTATAGGGTGCCACCTATAAAATTATTAAATTTTACCTTTTTATGAAAACGTACATTGCAAACACGCGATATACATGCCATGTGGGACAACGGTGCTGGTTTGAAAGGCAATCCAGCTGTTAAAAAGCTTATTATTTGCCTTTTTTCACGGTATCCTTTTCCGGATATCTAGAACAGAAAGCCCGCGCCAGAGGGGGAAATCTGCACAACGTGTGTTTAAAAACGTGCAAGTATTAAAGTGGAATCAAATGCATTCTTTTGTTGGAATTTAACAGAGAGGGGAAGAGTGTTTTTTTTTTTATTTTGTTTGTTTTTCATTAGGACTCTGTCTTAAAGAGCACTACACTTCTAAGGTCCCACGCATCTCTACGCTTGGCAAAGGAAGAGAATCACAGGCCGCCAACAGCCGAGGCTAACACGCACAAGGGGAGAATGTATGAATGTATGGTGTTCAACTCCCAACATCAATCAAACTTTTGGAATCAATCTACAACAATGGCCAAACGTCTATCAATTCCAAGTGACTCTGACAAGTCAGGCAATCTGAAAAACTAATTTGACAAAATAGCTATTAAGGATCTCATTTAGAGTGACCACAGTCAGCACCATTTGAAAAATGAAAACTTCTCTCATTCTAAACATAAGAATAAACTTCAATGAATCAAAAGCAAGAAAGCTTTACACAATTTGACGTAAATCCGACAAGGATTTGCCTTATTATTACAATGTATTACCAGCAAAGAGCATACCAAGGTCACAACCTGTAACAAAATGTTGCCCTCTTGATAGTCACTTAAAAACCCTAGAAGGTGGGAATTTAGTTGAACGGTTTCACGGTTTATATGACAAATTCAAATATTAGTTTCACACAGGAACTAAGAGCAGCAAATCCAAACAATTCCCGACTTGAATATTAACAGGTAAAGGTGAAAAATCAAAGCCTTTGAAAGCTGGCAAAGTGTGTGTGGGTGGTTACAGGAACCAAGGTGGTTTGATAAAGAAAAGGAAGAAAGAAAACTTTTTTGGGGGGGGGGAATTCGTATACAAGGTATAACACTTCTCTTGACAACATTTTTGCAATACATTTTGCATAAACTTTCAGAAATCTCCCACATCAACTTCTTTAACGAGAAAAGTCAGCAAATTCCTTTGTGTTAATTAACCCATTTGCAAATTAACCAATTCCTGGAATTCAGGGGCATCTATGAAAATCGAGGGTTCAATAACAAAATGGAAGAAGGAAGCAAAAACATAAAAATAACACAAAAAACACGCCCTTTACGGAGAAAGAGCACCAGGACCCAATTCAATGGAGCTGTTTCGCAAAGAAATAAATGCTGCCCGGCAAATTCCTTAACCGCGTGTTTAAATCAGTTGGGAATTTGTTAAATCATGCACAGTTTATCTGTTCCTCTACACAACAGTCAGAAATAATTATGGCACAATCACGTGTGTTCAACAACTACTATGGAATGGTTACTGAGACAGCACACACTAGGCTTTGAGGATTTTTCTATATAACTTTTGAACTTGCAGAGTCAATCTTTTAATTATGGGTCTTTTGCCCTTACACCAACGTATATAAATAAAACCGAGTGTTCAGATTTGTCCGAGAGCTCGAACAAAAAAATTCACAAGCTTACTCGGGTGGGACCTGTACCCAGGATCTTTTGCTCACTATAGAGGGTTTGCATGGCTGCCATCTTGCAGGCCAGTTCTTTTTTTCCACAGGGTATCCACAGGGTGTAAGGACAAAAAAACGCATAATTAAAAATTATCATCTCCCCGACGCAAGTACGTCTTTGGAGACCTGCAGAGCATTTCACTGAAAACAAGTAACACACAAAGTTTTCTCAATGACAGACCGTCTTGTTCTTAATCAAAAGTGAAAAAAAGAAACTGACCAAGGCAAAAATTCCCATATTCTGGCAAATTCTAAAGCTAAAAGAATCTGTATTCTGAAACGCTAACCTTTTTATCATAAGACACCAAAGATGACCCAAAGCATCCTTAACAGAGCAACATAAAGAATAAAATTAATTGGAACAAATTTTGAACACAAATGTGTTTCCTTGGGTTTGTGAAAAAACACATATTTAGATATTCCTTGTAAGTTAAAAAAAAAACCTCTACAAACGTCAAACGACTGGTTTTGCAGATTCTGACTGAAACACGACAGTTGATGCCCAATAATGTCTCAGACGAATAATGTAACAAGTTCTGTGCAAAGTCGGATTCAGGCAGATAAAGGTTTTTCATAAACACACCCTAGGTTTATCTATTTCAAATGCCAACTATCCTCTCCAATGCAGCTTTCTCAGGAGACTTATATGCTGCTCAAACAGGCAACTGATGTCAAAATCGCACAGAGGCAATTGCATGGGTGTACAATAAATCTTCCCCTACCATATTGAATCCATCACAAGTCAAGTTGCAAGAAAAACAAAGCAGGGCCCAAGGAATACTTTTACTTTCCTGTTCAATTGGATATCTTGTAATATGACTTGGGGGACTTGTAAAGGACTGTGAGGACTTGCAAGGACTTCTGATGACTTGTGAGGACTTGTGGGGGCTCATAAGCACTTGTGGGCACTTGAACTTGTGGGGACTAGTGACGATTTCTGAGTACTTGTAAAGACTTTTGAGGAGTTGTGGGGCATTGTGAGGACTTGTAAAGATGTGAGGATCTGACAGCATTATTGATTGGAAGTAATTGATTATCTCATAGCCTTGGAACCCAGAGAATGATGTATGGATGTGACCTGTGTTTTGTTCACAGCCTTGGCAACACTCTAAACAATCTTCTTGTGAGACATTTGAGCTGATCAACAAAATCAACACAATCACAATTTATTGTGTGATTTTCAGATAAATAGGGCATTACTGGACACTCAATTCTTTGACAGAAATCGACAAACAGCCATGTTTTGGGGTAGAACTTTATTAATCAATCTCGGTGAGCCAGTGTGGTATTTCAGCAAGGTCAAACCATGCATGAGTGCCAATCGGTATATGGCTGAGAGGGCAGACCTTAGGTGTGCACGTACGAGGTGAATGACCTCGGACGCATGCCTTGTTGGAATACTGAACTGGCTCACTGAAATAGCTAAATATAAAACTCCAACTGGGTGGAATTCTCAAAAATACCTTTGAATGCCAATAACTGAATAAAAAGCTCTCACCTAGTTCAGCAAAATGATTTCTTTACAAGACTTTTCACTGATATTTCAAAGGACAAAATTTCAACATGGAATGAATCAATCTGGTCTTGGCAGTGAAAGTCAATGCATCAATGATGCCAGCAGGGAGGTCTAAAATTATTGGTCACAAGGTTGATGGAGGGTAACATGTAAACCTCAAGTTCAACGGATGTCAAATGCTCATGTGACTGTCTCACTAGGTCCGGCCACCTCAGCTGTCTGCTGTGCAGCTGCAGCAGCCCCTGCGGCTGCTGGCGCGGAGGTTGCCGCAAGCGCTGCGGCAGTGTCTGCCCCGGGGATCTTGACTGTGGACGGCATGACGTCATAGCCAAGCTTCTTCATGTCACGGGTGATGACGTTGAAAGTGACCTTGATGTGGCCCTGTGAGCGTACCCTGGTGACTGTTGGAGTGGATGTGTTGAAAATATAAATATTGTGTCTTAAAGATGATAGCTTTACCGTGATTATCTTCAGGTTAATGTGATAAGCACTGCATGCTCACTGTTTGTGACACTTCCAGGAATTTCACCTAGCTTGATAGACTTGGAAGGGTATCTATGGCTGTTTTCAAATACTCAACTTCGTCTCTGTCTCAGGCTTCATCTTTTTCTTCACCACCTGACTTTGAAGTTGTTAGCTCAATACTACTTCCAATAATGCCACAGAAACATTGTATTCGATGAAAAAGAGCAATATGTATATTACATTGAATGCTTCAGGTACACAATTCGAGATTGATTTTGAAGACGGAGCCTTGGACAGAGATGAAGTTGGATATTGGAAAATGGACTATGACCCCACACCTTCCCACTTTTAATAATGCAGACATCTTAACACTTCACCACTGAGCTTCCTAGGATCAGTCGTCAGGTCAAAGTATATACAACCAATCACTTTTATATGACCTTAAAAATTTTTTTAATGATTTGTCTAGATGGGAAACTCAGAGGTTCTGGATAAATGCACACTTAACAGTGTTTTTTTTATGCAAACCTTTGAGTACAGTGAGTAAGGCATTAATACAAGGCTCGAAACCACCAACGAGTTAGTTTATGCAAACGCTCTCAACACAAAGCTCCCACGAGCTGTTTCTTCAAAGCTATTTCAGTCATTTAGGCTTGATTTTTGGCCATTATTCCTGCTACCTGAAATTTAACTCTGGGCCTTGGACCTGGGCCCAATATCATGGTGCTGCTTACCCTAGAATTCCACGCTTACGATCTCCATTCTGTGCTTACCAGGCTAGCAGAAAAATTCTGTGCTAACCTTTTAAGCACAGAATCCTTAGTTACGGGATGTACGCATGCGTACAAGCCAAACTTCCTCGCTAACCCATGAAAAACGTTGGCCGTAAGCACAGAATTTTCTGTTATGGTAAGCACTGATTTTAAGCTTACGGTAAGCAGCACGGTGAAATTGGGCCCTGCCCACACATGTATTGGAAAAGAAATGGGTTTGTGGCTTCTGATCTTTTTGTACATTCTACTGCCTTTAAAACGTCTAAAAGCTGAGTTGGCTGAGTTGGCATTCGGCAGAAGGCCCGTCCAGAATTCACAGGGTCCTCGGTTGCATCATTCTCCAGACATCTTGTCTAACCGATGAGTCAACTTTTTAAACTTCACTGTTTGCCATTTTCTTTTCTGCTTTAAAAAGGCCTAATTTTACAAATTAAGGCCAAGTGAGGCATCTGTACACTAAAATCGAAACAACTTTTTTTCATCAGAAATATATGTAAAACAAAACAGAAATTGATATGTCATGTCATCCTGGAGGCGTGCCAAAGAGGGATACAATTTTGACTGACCTAGAAAGGAAACAAAATTGTGGCTTTTGAGTTCCTTTTAGGTGCCAATAACCTTTCACTTTGTTTCCAAATTAAAAGAAAATCAACGATACTACTTTCCTTTTCAAGGATATGTAAACCAAAAATTGGCGCTGACATGTATGTGATAACCAGCTATCTGGTATCAGTTTGGGTTCCACTTGCACATACATGTAGCTGAAGAAAGAGCTTAATATTACCTTGTTTGCCAAAAGCCGAAATCTCCACTTGTTTTATTTCAGAGAATCTCAACGTTCACTTCAACAGAGGTAGGAAACCAATTCACTCACAGTTGTTGCAACTTTGTGAGTGGATCTCACAAAATGAGTATTTCGGCTCTATCTTCAGAATTTCTTTTTTGGCTTAAGGACAAACAGCTCCTTGTTTTGGTTTTTTATACATGTACATGTACATTTCTCATGTCCTGACTTCTCTCACTGGACTGGATGTCTAGTACAGTTGGGGGGCTCCAAGTGATGGACATAATGCATGATTCTTTGAAAGTGCCTTCAACTCAGTGGTTCTCATCGTGTGAGACTTGTTTTGTTGGAATGCATGGGTCCTACATTTTACATGTACATGCAGATGGCACTTCTTAAGGATTTTTGGTTCATCCATTTCATCATATTTATAATTAACCCTGCCCTGGTAACTCCCAAGAGAACTTTTGCAAAGGACAGTGTATATTGAACATGCATCTCCATAGCACATTTTCTGTCTAAAGGAGTCACAAACACGCGATCTCAGGACCTTTGTGAAAGTGGGCATGTATTCAACTCTGCATGCATATGGTCCAAGACCCTTTGAAGCTATGCCAAGATCTACAGCGAATGCGGCCGTATATTATTGCAGGCTGCCACAGCAATCATACCTTGTGCGTGTACATTCACACTCGTACACAGTCTTACCCCTCTTGGAACTTTGCCAAGATGGGCATCCAGTCACCCCAACATATGGATCCAGTGCGAATTCTTATTCTGCCAGGGAGCCCATATTTACAAAACTCATCGCTCCTACTTGCAGCTGATGGGCTGACTCAGGAAGGATGCTGTGGCAGGACAGTCCGGCCAAAGGCATGTAAAGGTCACTTATACAGACAGACGACAAAAGCATCTGACCATGGATAACAGCCAGAGATCAAAAGTGTTGATTTTTGCAGTGTGAGGAAAAGCTGGAAAACCACAGAACCCGGAGAAGAAAACCTCAGAGAACAGTATAGAATCACCGAACAACTCTATTCAGATTTGTATATAATATGGCAAAGAGCCAGGAGTCAAATCCCTGGCTATAGGTTTGCACAATGTACATTTTGTACCACAGGGCTTTACATGGGCATACAGTGCATGCCAGCAGTAGCCTAATATGACCATTTCAAGCTGAATTTCTACAGCCTCTGACAAAATCCTTGAAACCATGGCCAGTATTTCGCCAAGCGTTGTATGAAAGTTTCCACAAGCGACAAATTGAGCAGACACCACATTCAAAAGAAGTTGTTTTTATCAATGGACTTTTGGATGTGATAAAGTCATAACAATTTCCACAGCTTTGCACTGAGTTTGGCTCATACTCGAGCAACATCTAAAAACCAACCCACTCCTGAATTGTTCTGAAGGTCTCCAATTGTCAATCTTTCCCCTGCTGGTAAACCTAGTTGCTCCTAATTGTTTCAGAAATGGAACCTCGTTCAAATCTGGCCTGTCATTCCGATTGGCATGCCTCTGGAATGCTCGTCTGAAACAGGCGTGACTTGACGAGAATTTCTTAAATTGAATAATGTTTTGGCTGTAGTAAGTTACAAAGCTTACAAGTTCAATAACAAAAGGGTTATAAAAATTCCCCAAATTAAAGAAGGAAAAAACCTATATCAATATACACATACTGGACTTCCATTCTTTAATCTAGTTTGCAGGGTCATCCCTTTGACGTCTGTCATGTTGAAAATAAAGCTCTTTTTCTTAACAAGATAGATTTTATGTGTACTTGTTATGTATCTCTGTTAAAGAAATATTCATAAACCATTGAAACGAAAAGTAATGCCAAAGTTCAGTGTATAGATTTCATTAAAAGCGCTTGTCACGCAACTAAACTGAAGCTCCAAACAATGGCTAGGTTACTGGAAAATTCCAAGGTCCTTGTAAGTCTCAATGTCACATAAAAACTGAGCTCCATATTACTAAGTAATTAAGTATAAAGTTTCTCTCAACACAACAGCTTCACAAACCAGGGGGCCCCTGAGTGAGTACGTGCCCCTACGTGCGGAAAATAAAACTGGCAGGGGGGAGACTCTGATTGCTGGAGAAAATGCCCTGGAAAAATCCCAAACCTTTGCTGTCCTTCACAGCCAACTGACCTCATCTGCCAACTCTGCAGATATTGGAGTGCTTCCGAAGGTCCAGCAGGCAAAAAGGAACAGTTCTCAACCTGATTTCTGACACTGGCAGCACCAAGGGGGAGGGAGCGTCCCCTGAGACTTTTCTTGATATGACAGGACGCTTTTTTTCAAACTATATCATTTCTTTCACTTTCTAAAGCCTGTAAAAAGGAAGCCCTTCAATTCATCCTTGAGCAGAAAGCTTGCAAATGGGACAAACAGAAATCCTCATTTTTTGTAACCTCCCCTACAGAATGGTTGGTCTCCCTCCAAAAAGAAGAAGACGATTCTGAATTTGATGCTGGATTTGGTGCATCTGCTTGGCACACAACACGATCACCAGGGGCCTACAAGGAAGTAACTCTCCAAAAAAAAAAAAAAAAAAAACTAAGTAGACACTGATCCTGATAGTTTTTTTTTAACGACAAGTTATGAGATTGTTTCCTGGTTGGGCCTGGTGGTATGCAACACAACTGGCTATGCATTTGATTTCCAACACAGGCTGTGAATATGAGGCTAAAACTTGGCAAGACCCCCTGGCCTACATTGTACAAATGTAATCAATCCACCAATCGAGGTGAGAAATGGAATCAAGTTAAAGCTGATGAGACTGCAGAGAGAGTGTGCCAGTTTGAAAACAAAAGAATAACAGGACTTGAAACTGCAGGCAGGGCACTCCACAGAAATCTAAGCCTGTACTAAACGTGTGGCACGCCCATCGGTTTTGTTATTAGGAATACAATTACCCTGATTAGTTTCTGTCCTCAATTGTTCTAACCAGAGAAATGAATCTGGAAAACATACCACCAAACTGTGAACTTTTACAGGCCACAGCACAGCCCAAAGTAACCTCTCATACTTTCCCGTGAATACAAACGTCATGTTTTTCCCTGAGGTATGTAGACAGCTGCGCAAAGAACGTGCAATGTTATTCGACTTGTGTTCAACTTCAAAGTTTGGTCTCCAAGAGTCCTGTACAGTAGCAGTACGGATTTTCAGCAAAACAGTAATACTGTACATGTATTATGGTAGTTAAGTATCAAATTTGTGGATATTTTAAGGCCTTTTCACACTACAGCCTCTCAACCTGGACTGAACTCAGCCCTGGGCAAACCCATGACTGCTCTGGGTTGACATTTTTCAAGTGTGAATCATCGCCAGTTTTCAAACCTGCTTGAACCCTGCGTCAAGCCCGAGATTTTTCCAGTTTGAAAAGGCCTAAATTAGTTTCTACTGCACACTTACATGTACATGTACGGTGTACAATGTATTACACACACTTTCTGTTCTAATCAATTTTGTCTGTGCATTTTTCTGGTATTAAAGGTTCCTGTTCCAAGAAGAGATCGTGCGTGAATAAGACAAGAAATGGGAGCATTTTGAAAACAGCGTTTCCCGCCTGATTGTTGTAGTGCAAGAGAACAAAGTATAGTCTCCACAAGGATACAAAGTCCAGTGTGTGTGCTCTTAAACATGTACAAAGTTTTCTTTTGAACCCGTGGAAGAGCAAAAGAGAAATCTGTACATCAAAAAACTTTCCTGGAAGCGTGCCAAGAGAAACAAAGACTGACCTGGACAGGGAAACAAGTTTGTGACTTTGTAGTTCCTTGTTTGCATTGCTTTCAAACCTTCCACTTCATACTCAAATTAATGAAAACCAGTACAGACGGATATCTACAAGGTAAACCAGCTTGTATATATGGATTACACTTGAAAATGACACTGGCCTCAAATCTAATCGGCTGGTTCCTGTCCATGCACGTGCGCTCAGAGAATTCCTAGAAGTTGGAAAATTACTGTCACTTAATCATGTTTTCAACAAACTTGATGAGTACATCAACAAGAGAACAACATGGTGCAGAGTATAATCATTATGAGCTCCGAGCTGGACCAAGAGAGGGCGCAATTTTCACAGCAACAGAGGCTTGTTTGGTCAGAACTTCACTGTGCTGATTCAGAAATGACTATGGAATGCAGGCGTTACGGTCAAATCGCTACCAGCAAAATGAACATGCCCGACCAATATGGCTCCCTTCAACTGATGATGGGCTACTGATGCAAATGCCTCCGTTCGGTTGTAATGACCACTCCAACTAACAGCAAATACCCCCATACTGAGTTATTAGAATTCACAGAATCCTCACGTGGAGATCCAGAGGACAAGTAAGCTGTACCTACCTTCCCTGCCCTCGCTCCTTGCCACCACGTTCACGTCCACGAACTCTGGTCGCCGACTCAAAAGCCAACTGTAGCAATGAAATCAATAAATTCACACTGGTGCAAATAAAATTATCGAGCACAAAATGGTGTCGTGTAAACATCTGTGTGTGAGTGTGTACATTCACATTTTTGGGAGAGGGGCCATTTGGAGCGAAAACTAGAAAATCTTTAAAGGCAATCACTGAGCAACATACAGCGCACTGTACACATGTAGGTTCTTGTGGATACAAGTAATCGGTGATCGCGATCCACTCCAACGTACACATTCAGGATAGTCCTCCCTTGTGCACCAGCTTGGGTACAGGATACCAGGAAGATGCCATCATGGGCAATACAACTGCTCCAAATTCATGAACTATTCTTCTCCATTCACTTTTTGAAACTTTCTCGGTACTTATCAGAGAAAAAAGCGCCTTTGGGTATTTAGTGTTTCCTATTTTTTTTGCAATCCTGTGCTTTTCAAGATGTTTGGGGAAGTGTTTATTTGGGTTTTGCATATGTGACCTGTCAAAATGAGCTGTAAGTTGGAGTTTTCAAAAACTGAGATATCGGTATATTTGAATTCAGCAGAAAAAGAGTTTTCCAGTGGTATGTAAATGGAAAAGTAAGGGTAAAAGTACAAGGTGACAGTGTGACATTATTATGGTACATGTACCTTTCTGTCTTTGTTCCCAACATTGTTTCATCATTTCTGACGAGGCACCAATGATGCTGTCATCAAAATTGCTGAGAAAATGACATTTTAAAATATATGACCCTGCAAAATATTTGAAATTAAATAGGAGACAGGTTTCTCTTTCCAAACATTACAAAACCCAAAATTTGCCCTCTACTTCAATATGACTTCGAACCCTCAATATAGGAAAGAGCGGCATACGACTTTCCTCTCCATTTGTCAAGACAGGTCACATATGTACATGTACATGTACATGTATTACTTTGTGATTATTTTTTCAACCTGTGAAAATATCTATACTGAAAGTTTTTCATATGGAATGAAAGGAAGGCTTCAAGAATGTTTAGGTTGAGGGAGCAATAATAAGGTGGGGTATGTTTTCTTTGTAAACTTTCAAAACTGTATGGCATTTTCTTTATTAGAGCAGCATCAACAAACGACTCTGTTGTGAACTTTGACCTAAAAGGGCAGGTCCAGGGCAGTGTTGCAGTCGAGACCACTTAAGAGCACACCAGACCAACACAAGACCTCCAGTCTGGACTCAAGTCATAAGCTATTCAAATGAACTGCAACAAAAAGCATTCCTTTGTCGTCGTTCACACTGCTACGTGTGACTGGTCTTATGTCTGGTCTTGTGTTGGTCTCCACTGCAACACTGGTCCAGGGGCTAATCCTCTTGTCTCTGTGGATCACACATTTCTGCTCAGCACAGACAAAAGTTACTGCTTGCGAAAATTTCATGTAATAGTGTGAGGCTCATCCCAGTCAAGTGTTACTTGCCAAACGATCGTCAGAGAGCAGACACTTTCTTTTCCTCATCAGTTCCAAGAAAGTGGGGCACAGAGTTACATTGTGTACGTACATTCGCACGTGAACATCTTGGGCCATTGTTCTCAAAAATGAAAACAAAACCTCAGCCCTCAGGGAACTGTTTACGAAAGTTCAACCATTTATGAAAACCAGGAATTGATGAAACTCGATGTGAAACTGCAATACTATAGTGCTGACCAAAAATGCGATAACTGTAAGCCAGTGCATAATATACATGTACCTTTGAATATACTTCAAAGAATATATATATATTTCAAAGGAATTCAGTGAGCTGATTTCTACGTCTTGTATAAAGCCTTCAGGCTTTTAACATTATTATGGACAAAATTACTTAATAAAATAGCTAATGGTGAGTTAGGTTTTAAAGACGTTGAATTGCAACCCAAACTATCTCTTAATGTATATATATATATTTATATATATATATACATTAAGAATATATATATATTTCAAAGGAATTCAGTGAGCTGATTTCTACGTCTCGTATAAAGCCTTCAGGCTTTTAACATTATTATGGACAAAATTACTTAATAAAATAGCTAATGGTGAGTTAGGTTTTAAAGACGTTGAATTGCAACCCAAACTATCTCTTAATGTACAGCACTTTTGTTATTGGGCCTTTCAAGAAATCATAGCTGTCAATTTATATTGCCTTTCCTTCCCCCTTTTCCAAATCCAGGAAAAGAATCCGTCTAGACGTTAAACTTGCAAAGGAAACAGGAAGTTTGCCAATTTAAAAAAAATTCATACCATACACCACAGACTTAAACCCAAATCACATGATTCCACAAATAAACGATAAATGAAGGAAAGTATAAAACCTATCCCTAATCTCAGGGGTGAGATTTGAGGAAATGAAAATATTTAAAAAAAAGAAAAGAAAAGCTGCACGGGAAAAGTACCCATAATCTCGGTAAGTTTGACCAAAAAAAGGTCCAGTGCTGAGAGGGCTTTTGATGGGTAACCAATCCACATTGACCAACGATCAACAAACATTTCCGTGGGGTTTGATGCGCTCAAATTTGTCAGAAGTACATAACCACTGAGCACAGTGTTGGATTTTTACAGTTTGAGGAAGCTTTCTAGCAAAAGTGTACAGCACAACCAACAAGAGTTTTTGATGTTACAGGCAGAGGTGAGAAAATTTACAAACCTGGTAAATTTCTGGAATCTTGAAGATGACTCGGGGACAAACATTGGCAGGATTCTTTGGTGTCTGGAATTGAAAAAAGAGTTTTCGAAAATGAACGCAACATAAACAAGAATTTCTTTTACTGATTTTTAATTGAAACAGGAGTCACAAAATTTGATGTATTCCTGATTCATTTGAAAGCCCACCTCAAGAATAAAAATGACTAAAATAGGAAGAGGAACCAATTGGGCATGTACAGTGTATTCTGAGGAAAAATAAGACTTTATCAAAATTCAGCTTTGCCTCCGAATCATTTTTGGCCTCGTGTTTTAACAGTTTGTCTAGATAAAAAGACTTTATCTTTGGTTTCATATCGCAAGGTCTGACATCCCAGTAGCAAAAACTGACCAGCACTGAGCCACAAAATGTCTCAAATGAAGGACCTCTAGTGAGGAAGCCCAAAGCTAATGACAGAGCTGTGCAGTCCAAATGGCCATGGATCAGTGTTGCATTCGAGTCCATCACAAGTCCAGTCACAAGTCCAGTCACAACTCCCTTCACAAAGCCAGTAACAACTCCCTAAGTCCAGCCACAAGACCCTTCACAAGGTCTGTCACAACTCCCTAAGTCCAGCCACAAGACCCTTCACAAGGTCAGACACAACTCCCTAAGTCCAGCCACAAGACCCTTCACAAGGTCTGTCGCAACTCCCTAAGTCCAGTAACAAGACCCTTCACAAGGTCAGACACAACTCCTTAAGTCCAGTAAAAAGACCCTTTACAAGGTCAGACACAACTCCCTAAGTCCAGTCACAAGACCCTTCACAAGTCCAGTCATAACTCTCTAAGCCCAGTCACAAGTCCCTTCACAAGGCCAGTCATAAGTAACAGGGTGAACAATGACAAAAGAATGTTTTTGTCACAACTAATTCGAAGAGCTTGTGAATTGGCTTAAGACTGAATGACTTGTGATAGATTTGTGATGGACTTGTGATGGACTTGCAGAGGTTTGGAAGGACTTGTGATGGACTCAAATACAACACTGCCATGGATTAATTACAAATCATATGCTGTTAGGCTGTGTCTGAACAACCTGGCTGAGGCTCAAAATTACGCAGCATTCTATGGGAAGTAGTTGTAGCCACAATTACAGACTCACGCACATTTTTAAGCTGCTGCCAAATTATTCAGACTCGGCCATATTTTGTACAAGTTTTGTAGTTTAAAGAGCGCCCTCTTTTGTTCACATATGGAGTCTACTGCCTCAATGCCAACATGTTCCCAACTGGCCATAGTAACGTAAATGCATTTTTTGTAATTGACACTTTTTTTTGAGGGAACACAAAGCAAACATTCACCTGATGGCAGCAACAACGAATGTGTTGCCCCCAAGACATGAGGGACCCTGGTTAAAATAATCCGTAGATTTATACATACAGGTACGTGTAGGGCCCTAAATATATGCACTTGTCGTTTCAATTTTATAAAAAGGCATGGTACCGATGCATGTATGTCAATGCTTGGTTGCTTTTGTAACTTTGTATCTGATTTCTTACTGTGTGTAACATTTCTAAGAAGAAATTTATGAAATAACTTCCTGTAATGGTGTTGTCAGTGTCTTGCCTAACCTCTTGTCCTGCTGAGGACAGGCAAAACAAGTTTGGACAGGCAGCATTAAAAATCGACAAGCCATGATTCTGCACCTACGTGTATTTAAATCTTTAACACTACTGAGGGAGTCTTCACGTTTCCCACCAAGAATATGGCCTTCCATGACACCGAGAAGCAAAAATTTCAGACATTTTCCCCCAGGGTGAGGGCAGGCTAGTACATGTATTTCATTTCAGCCTTAGATGAGAACCTTGAGTGGTGTACAGCACGTGCACGGAAAGTTGATATGTCACTTGTGCATCAGGCTTTGAAACTTTTCCAGGATGACCCCAGAGGAAAGCTGCCAAAAAAAAACTACGAAGTTGGACATGAGAAAGTCCAGGCACGTTGTTGCCAGCACGGTTCCAAGGCCTTTCACTCATTGAATCATTCATACCTCAACGAAACACTGGCAGGTCTCAAAGACAATGGCTCCAGGGCACAGAAACGAGAATAGCAAAACGAGCCAACTTTCAAATTAATTTCGGTGTTTGCCCTTATGATCACATTTATGATTTACACTTCCTCCTTTCGGGAGGTGTGAAAGGAATAATCTTGTATGCTTCCCAGGGTAAGTCACAAACGAAAGTTTATGCAGACTAAAATTTACAACCGTTTCCATGTACCTTGTACATGTATTTTGTGACATTTTCAGACCATTATGCACGCCGCGCATCTTTGTAATTTTACTGAGGGCAACGCCAAGGTAAATGGGTAATGTTACACGCTAAGAGTACCAAGACAATGTTGGATTTGTATAAGAAGGTACTCGGTTGCGTGTAACTTGTGATTAAGGACATGCTATTGTTTTCGTTTTGTTTGGATTTAATTTTTTTTCCCTGAAGGGGTCCTGTACATCTAGAATTTGTTAATGATTTTTCTAATCAAGGTTTCTCACCCAATCAGGC